CGGTTCCATATGCAAATGCCGTCGGTTGAGAAAGCCATACCTTAACCAGCCCTCCCTCTCCCCCTTTAAGCCAGACTGTGCGTTAAAATGTAGAGAAAAGTTTCGCATTGAGGCGCCACTTGAGCTGGCTTCGGAGTTGCCGCTTGCCGTTCGCCGCAGTGCCAAGTGCGCAGTTTGTTAAATGCCTTTCAACGGCGTGGTTAGCCAAGCGCAGACCTTGAAATGCAACGCCCGGCTCCGGCCAAAGCAGGCCAAAAACTCTTAGCGCATGGAGCCCAGCAGTTGCCAACGGCCACTCGGGCAGCTAACCAGGCGCACAACTTTTCTGTGGGCAGCCGCACAACGCTTGCAACCAACAACAAAAGTCATTTTGTAGTTACTCCGGACATGTTGATTGCAAACAAAATGTTTTAATTGAATAACATACAACAACCACTTTTTTTTCTAACTTTTCTACAGCACTTTAAGCATTTAAATGCCAACATTGCGTATGCTTCATTTTCAGTTAGATGAGGCTTAAGGACATTTATTAGCTTTGAATTGGTTTTGATTTTTTTATGGACTTCTAAATTTCTGAGAATTTGTGTTTATATTTTTTATTCAGGCAACCGTGCGTATGCCTAATATACGCATATGTCAGCACGTACCATATATAATATAATCTTTAATATATAAGTTTGTTGTTGTTTCTACATTGCATAAGTTTGTTAAAGTTTTGATTACATTTTTAGTTTTTTGAAGGGCTAACCGTGCGTATACTTGATGAGTAGAAGCAACTTAGCATATTAAATCAAGTGTTTTTTAAAAAGTGGGCATAATAAAACTTCATTTTCTCTATTTTCTATATATGAATTAATCAACCTTTTATATTGTACGTTGTCGTTGTTCATGTGTTTTCTAAGTTACGCATTTAGGCAAGAGAACAAACGGAATTAATACAAAATTCTGGGCTGGCATATGAATATAAAGTTCTCCATTCCTATAATAAAATATACCAAAATATAAAGTCCTATACTTTATTTTAAAATTTACATACATATTTAATTGTTTTTTAAAAGTTACATTTTATGAAAGCTACAAAATGGAGAACAACAACTCCCGCTATATGTGCAATTAAATATTAATTGTAATCAAACAACTCGTATTTGTAATTCAACATTATTAATATGTAAGTACTTCACTCAAAATAAATGCACAACAATTGCAGAAAAGTTTCTCAGATACTTACGCATTCTTTAGCATTTATTTTAATTATTAAAACGTATTTAAAATACCAACAGGCTTTTGTCCGGGCAATTAAACGATTTAAATTAAATGAAGCAACAGACTGTTGGCCAAATTAAATGCTCATGTTTATGTTTTGATTATTATTATTGATGTTGTTGCAACTAACAAATATTCAATTTGATAATTTAGTTGTGGCCAGCAAAGGATTTGCATGCAAGCGAACTCCCAAGGGCTGGCGATCAATTAGGCTCGTAATTCGAATGCAATTTGCAATTTGTGCCAATGTTAAATCGAAAAATTTAATTAAAATTTTAGCACACAAATTTTTCAAATTGGGCTGCGTCTAATGAAATTGCTTTGAAATTTGCATTGATTGATGCCATTTTGTGATTTATTGTAGTTGAGACGAACTTGAGTTAAACAACAGGCGAATGTCCTGAGTTCAATTAGTCGCTGTGTCTTTGTGGGTGTGTATGTATATTTGTGAGTATGGGGGTGTGTGTGTGTGTGTGTGACAATGTCAAATGTCGTTCAAGCACACACACACACACGCACACTCAAACACTGACAATGTACATTTATTTTACTTGGTTTCATTTCGTATTTCTTTACATGCCGAACCACAATGATTGATGCGGACATGTTATCATCAAATAACTGTGACTCTTGTCAGATCTCGAGGGGGCTGCCAGAGGATTATCTACAGGGAGTGGGCGGAAGTATACCCATGTGCATAAGCCGACATATGTTCTGAGTGTGCGCGTGTGTGGGTTTGTGTCGTTTTGTGCTTGGTCAAAAACTCAATTTAAATTGTATTTATTTCCATTGTTTTGCGCAAGTTGAGCGCAGTTGCCATTTCTGATGTTGGTTACTGTCAGGAGCTCATTTATCTGGACTCAGAGCTCGGGGGTGACTAACTATCAGTCAAACCACCACAACAAAAACAACAACAACAACAACAATAGCAATAGCAACAGCAACAGAACAGATATGTATGAATACATATGAATTGGAGGACTAAAGAAACAAAATCAATCGACTTACACATATTTTCTATATTCTATAAGTATGGCCTCGATGAATATATGTGAAAAAGCTAGTCCACGTAACGAACCATGGATGAGGCAATAGTTTCAAGCGTGAGCCGAAAAGCCAGCAAATTTTCTAAGGTTTCCAGCTGTGAGTCTAATGAAGCTTGCAATTGGTTATGATATCTTAAGGCCATGAAATGTTTATCATATTAAAATTCAATTTTTGACCAATTGTGGTTTGATATATAATAATAAGCTTGCCTACAGGAACAAGGCCTCAATCGACACAAATGCAATCGAAGCTGCACTCATCGTCTTTTCAACTTAGCTAACTTAGCTTTAAGCACATCGGATATTTCAATTCCCTGTTCGCCACAGATCATTTAATTTTTAGTTGAACACACAAAAACAACTTGGATATACATAATTGAAAAGGAAACAAATGCTAACTAAATGTGAATCTAATTACCCAAAGACTTGAGGAACGGTCTATCATCGCTGGTCTCCTCGTCGTCGTTGCCATCCGAGTCGAATGCGTTGTCGGGAATATCGTAGAGACGTATCATGGGCTTGTTTGGATCCTTCATGATCAGATACTTGCCATCTGGCTGCTTAAGCACAATGTCAACTAGGCAACGCAGCACGCCCCAAGCATTATCCATATTCAGATTGATTTGAGTGGCAAATTCCTGTGGCTTGAACTGCTGCATGCCCAGGATGACATGACGCAGATGATCCTTGCCTGCGTAATGCGCTCTATATTTAGGCTATATCAGAGTAATATAATTGCATTAGTATAATTACGATTCACACGCGAGACATAGCCCAGCTTGAGCTGATCGGAACCGGCGAGCACCGCCTCCACGGTCCACTTGGCCAGCTTGCAGGCATTGTTGCGCAGCTCGGAGGCGAGAACAGCGCCGCGTTGGCTGTCCAGCTTCTGGCGCCACTCGACGCTGTTGGCCGCCTTCGAGTCCCACTCGTTGAGCGCCTTGATGGAGAGGAACTGCAACTCGCCGGCGGGCGATTTGATGACGCCGTTGTGTTTGCAGCGCGCTATTAGAACCACATCGTCGCCCAGTTGCCATTCCTTGTAGCGATAAGCAACGGAGGCGAGCTCCACGCCGGGCTCCTCGAAGGGATTGGGCTCATCGAACTTGTGCTTCGGCTCCTGTTCGCCAATCTTGAGTACCTGCTGACTGAAATTGTGATTGATCAAAGTGGCCTCCAAGGACAGGCTCTGCGGCGAATTGATGGAGCCTTCCTCATCCTGCGGCGGCTCCAGTGCCGTCTCATTGACCGTCAGCAAATCGAATTGGGCATTATCGCGCTTGTCCAGAAACACCTTGGTGCCCAGCTTCTCGATGACAATGTCCCAGGAGTAGTTGGAGCGTGTGCAACACATCAGCGTGGCAATTATATCATCTGTTGCGAAGACATTGCCCATGCTCTTCGACAGACGGCGTATGATAGGATCGTCTATAGTGCCCGGCACATTGATGATGCGATCGATCTTCTGCAGCGGCCGCTCGTTCTTTACATTAATGCGATCGCATTGCTTATCATAGTACTCCAGCGTACCGCAGGTGACCACATCCACACCGTCCTTAATATTGGGCAGCGACAGCTTGAGCAAGCGAGGAAAGTCAATCTCCTCTATGGAAACCCAGTCGGACCGAACCACCACAGAGCTTTCGCGCAGACGCACTGGCGCATTGCGCATAAAGCGGCGACCCATGTTGCCCCGTCGCATGTCCCGTCCCTTGCCATACTTGTTGCCGACCCCTGCTCCACCGGTACCTCCGGCACCACCCTGACCCCCACCTATGGCCGCATTGCCACGCACATTGCGACCGTGGACACGAACATTGTTACGCTGATTGGGACGATAGCGATTGCGTTGATAAGGCTTGAGCGCGCGCGGATTGCCGCCGTCGACCAGGTGAAAGGTGGCATCGTCGTCCTCATGGAAGTAAGCGTACTGGCTGTTGTTGCTGCCAAACGTCGAGGCATATTTGTTGGCGTACTTCTTCTCCTGCACGGGCATCATCCAATCGCTGATTTTGCCCAGGCGATCGCTCTTGCAGAACGGCTGATAGGGCACCTCCATGTCTGGCATATCGCAGGGTCCCCAGCCGAACTGATTGTATTCAATGTAGGGCTTGATGAAGGGCGCGTATTGCGACATGATTAATACTGTTTAACCAAAACACACTATTGAAATTCAGATCTGGAATTGAATTCCTGATCCTTTTACTAAAATTATTCAAATTCGAGCTAGATTTATTTATATACGTTTCTTGATTTTTGAGCGCTACGGAAATTGTGATACGTTTTCGGAGTGTGACAAGGTGGAAATGAATACTCAAAATTGATTCAAGTAGGGCGGCTACGTGATGCAAAAATAACTCTTAATCGAAAAAATATATAGTACAGGATATACTCATAAAAAAATATGGATGAAACCATGAAAATATTCCATATATTTTTTTTAAAGTTGAAATAATTTTAGCCTTAATTATTACTATTACTATTAGGTATTGTCAATGGGTATTTATCGATTGTTATGATTGATTGATTCAGTTAAGAGCATCACAAATCGAAAAAAATTTCTAAAAATTGCATAAAGAAAATGCAGAAAATATGAATTTCTTAATTTGAATTAATTTATTATATAAGTTTTGCTTATTATTTATAAGCTTTGCATTGCATATTTGTTCCAGGCTTATTTAAATATCTAAGTAGCCAAACCTTCTAGTATGTCAAAACAAAAAAACCTTAATTTTTTAACATAAATCAATAAATGAACTTTGACAAAAAAGATGGTTGATTGTCTGACGATCTATCGTTGGTGCATAAATACAATTATACTGTGTTTTTGTGCCATATTTATCTTCCTACGCATGTTAATGGCTATCATTTGCCAAGTCGGCGGAAACATTTACCGGTAAGTCGCATATTTAAGAACCATAAAACCAGGCTGAAAGCAAAGCAATCATGTTTCTCTCTGCTAGGTGACACCGAGTGCTAAGCTAAATACAGCTGAAACCTGGCACCTAGCGATGTATGGATAAGCAGAACCGGAACCTGTATTGAAACTTGGCACATAAAATCATATTTATATCTCTTATTAAATTAAATGCAATTCTCTATTGAAATATATACTTTTAATATAAATAATATATTCTAAAAATGTTGAGCATCAGAAAAGTATTTCTTGAGCTTTTGAATCGCCTCAATAACAATTGTAGTTTAATTGAGAAGCACATCAAATTAGTACACTTCATAGGTCTAACGACGTTGTCATGGGAAGTGTCTAGTGAAAATCTGATCCAGGGAAATGTACCCAAATCCCTTACGAACACCCAAAACCCGCACATTTATTATTATAACTTTAGTCCTTTGGCCATTGTGTGGCATTGAATATGAGAAAATGGGCAGCAGAGAAAATGCAGCACAATAGAAATGCGAGTACACGAATTCAAGCGCATATACTCGGATACGCATGTGAGTACTCGTGCTCATCTGAATGAATGCGAATGTGAATGTGGATGTGAGAGAAGAAAGAGGAGCTGGAGAGCATAAACAGGAGCAGGGAACATCCTGCATTATATGCTTGAATGCGGCACGTTTCAGTTACACAGAATGTTGGCTGCTCTCGAGTTGGAAAATCTGGCAACAATCTCGTTAAAAGTAAAGGCCAAATTATAGTAAAACTAACAGATGGTAAAGGTAGTCACATAAAGAGCTTGTTACATAACAATCTCAGTTGCCGGGGCAAGCGCAAACGGAAGCGGATATCAAAAAAAACGTCGAGCGTGTGAATGTCTCCCAGGGGGTGGCGTAGTGTTAGAAGGGAGGCGTTCACTGCATATATGCGAATGGACTTGGAATTCTGCTTCCTATTTTTTCGGCTTGGGGCTGGCTGCCACTCAGCTGGCTGCTAAGCTTTTGTCAGGCCGACAGTGTCATGTTGATGTGTTCATTGTGTGCCAGTGGCAGCTGCTGCTGCTTACAGGCGCCCAACCCAACCCCAGCCCCAACCCCAACCGTCAATCCCGAACCTCTTAATCCCACCCCTCGCCCTGACACCCTGAGCTACAGTTAACACACTTAAGCCACATACGCTCGGTTTGGCTGTGCGTGCAAGTTGGGTGGTTGAGTGGCTGCTCGCGTCTGTTCGTGTGGATTATAATTGCCATGCGGCTGTCAGTGAGTGCCTGCACCTCAAAATGCAACCGCTCTGCCAAGCCTCGCCCGCACGCAGCTGCGGCTCATGTTGCATATCATTTTTAATGCTAACCACATGCCACATTATGCAGCTGCATTGCCGCTGTGGTCGAGCTCCAGCTTCAGATCCTGCGCGGCTTGGTGGCGGCTATTGCTAGAGCTTCGGCTTTGCGGCCCTCCGCCTTCTGGAGAAAGTGTTGTTGCCGCCGCCACTGCTGCTGCTGCTGCTGCGGTTTACTAAAGGCACACGACGAAGAATAATGTTCACGCATAAGCAAGTACCTCTTCAGGAAGCGACAATCTGAGCACAAGTATCACTATCATTATAATATCCTGGGAAAGCTATACTCAAACTTTATAGAACGAGTTCAAAAGTGTATGCTATGTATATTTAAATAATATATTTAAATAATCAATGAGCAGCTATTATTTTAATATATATTATAAAATATCTCAAGAGCAAACGATTGGATTAAGACCAGACTCAAGCTAACATTTATATCGTAGCACACCATTCCCCATTTGGCTATTTAACTATAGGGTATATGCGTAGCAGCAGCAAAGTGAAAAACCGCTTGCATACTTTGCGGCGCTCGCAGGCGATAAGCGACGCTTGTTGCTATTGTTATTTTTGCTGCTGCTGCCGCTGCTATTGTTGCTATTGTTGTTGTTGTTGTTGCATTGGCGCGGCTGCTGTTACCGCGTCGGCTGCTTTTGTTGCATAAAAATTAATATTTATGCGAGGCAACTTGTGCAAAGCACTGCAAATGCCATTGTTTTCATCTGCACAACCCCCGACCAACCCCCCTGCCCTCCTCTTCGAAAGCCGCCGCGTCGGCTACACGCGTGGCAAGGACGTTCCGGATGGCCGCAACTGCATTCTCAGCTCGTCAAGCGCAACGCAACGCAACGCCAGCTGACAAGACATACATATTTGTATGATGGCATTCAATTACCTGCTTCAAGCCACCCCACCCTCACCTCTCCACCCCCCTTCAATCCATACTTAGGCAGATGAAAATAACAGTGCTCACACCTCGTCAGAAAGCGAAAAGCCTCCATTTACCAGACTCTACGCTCCGCTGGCCCACTCACCACAGCCTGTCGTAATGGCGCTTAAATTGCGTATAAAAATGCACGACAAGATGCAAATGTAATTAATAGCATATTAAATGGACCGACCATTAATAAAACATGATTGATTTATGCGGGTAATTAAAGCTGAAGTGCTGACAGGTGCACGACTAGACCATACCCTGCAGAAAATAAAAAAAAGTTTGTACTTGACAAACTAAATTTTAAATTGGCATTGGGTCAATTAAGCGAACAAAAAATGGTTAAGCAAGAGAATTACGAATATGTTTAGTTAGTCGAATAGGCAATACCCTGCAATAGGGTATGAAATAAAGGAAAATAAAATGCATAGGCTAAGAGCGTCAAACATAAATGGAGAAGAATAGTAAAAAGGATTCAAATTTAAAATTGTGTGAAAGTTATGCATGCAGATAAAAGAGGCCAAGTCCAATATATATTTACTGTATATATTAAAATTTATCTGATTAAAGTAGTAGTAGAAGTTAACTATAAAAACCAAAATATATAATTATTCTAATAAGTCTGCTTTAAGAATTAGAAACGTTTTGTTTCGAAAACTATTTAAAACTTTGTATTTCCAATCAGGTTAGGGTTGGTTACAGTATGTTCCAGAAATTCAAATTCAATTCGAAAGCAGGTGCTTCTACAAATTTTAGATTTTTGCACTTTGTTGTTAAAGAAATGCAAGCAAGCTGTTTACTACCGATGAGAAGTGACGTTTAGTTTGGGCACAGGCTATGCGTCGTCCTGTGAGCTGGATCATCATAAGCAAGCAACTCTCAAACCAATTAGGGCAAACAGATACAGCTATAGGTTGTCGTGCCAGCTGGACCCTTAACTGCCTGAAAGTGGGCAATATCATCGAAAGAAGGGACTGCCGTTGTCCTCGAACTATTAGGAGATACTCAAAGAGGAAGATGGAGTTGCCAGAGGGTATTCTAATTGGTTTCGGTAATCCGCTCCTGGACATAACCAGCATTGTGGAGGACACAATGCTGCTCGAGAAATACGATCTGAAGCCCAATGCGGCCATCATTGCCGAGGAGAAGCACTTGCCGCTTTTCGAGGAGCTGACCAATCAGGAGAATGTGCACTATTCGGCGGGAGGTGCCTGCCAGAATTCGATGCGTGTCTTTCAGTGGATAGTGGGCACACCCTTTCGAGCCCTGTTTTTTGGGGCCGTGGGCCGCGATAAATTTGGGGATACAATTGCCAAGCGGGCGCTATTCGATGGCGTCCAGACGCATTATCAGGTCAAGGACGAGGCATCAACCGGCACCTGTGCGGTTATCATATCGGGTCAAAATCGTTCCCTGGTCGCAAACTTAGGCGCCGCGGCTTTGTTCAGTGAGGATTGGCTAGACATTGAGGAGAACAAGTGTCTGTTTGAGCGTGCCCAGTATTTCTATGCGACCGGCTTCATTGTCGCCGTAAACTCACCCAGCGTACTCCGCATAGCGAAGCTTTCCAGCGAAACTAATCGCTGTTTTGTGCTCAATTTCAGCGCTGTCTTCGTGCTGCAAACGCACAAACAGGAAATAGACGCAATTCTGCCATACACCAATATGATTATTGGCAACAAGCAGGAGGCCATAGCCTTTGCCGACACACATGAATGGGACACCACGGACATCTTTGAAATCGGTAGAAAGCTGCAGAGCCTGCCCAATGAAAATAATCGGCCGCGCATTGTCATGATCACCGATGCCGTCTGCCCGGTACTCTGCTTCCAGGAGAACGATAAGGTGCTCGAGTACCCGGTGCCTAAGGTCGACAAGAAAATAATCGTGGACACAAACGGCTGCGGCGACGCCTTTGTCGGCGGCTTCCTTTCGCAGCTAGTCCAACACATGCCCCTTGACTACTGCATCCGCACAGGCATCTTTGCCTCGCAGCAGGTCCTGCGCATAGTCGGCATCCAAATCGACAAACTGCCCAAGTTTAGGGAGAGTTGCATTTAAGAGGCACATGCTCATTTTCAACCAAATTCAAGGGTATATTTGTATCTATTTTATAAATGGGAGCACCAAAAATTGAAGTTGATTTATTTATTATTTTATTTTATTTATTTATAAAAGGAAGAAACATTTTACTTAGACATCTCGAAGAAAGAATACCCTCCCTTGCGTACCCTTATACAGATGTGTGAGCTGAATTTGACCATAATATTTTACAAAACATGACTATTTCTCTACACATAAACTCAACCTAGAGACTTGTAGTTCAATATTGTTAGATACGACTAAAGATATATAAGGGGAAGAGGGAAAGTTATATGGGCCAAACCAAGATCAGATATCTGATAAACGATTAGGTATTTCATAAAAAGTCTTAGACAGATCATTCCCATATAATATATGGATCTGTTCCAACCGGATCCGAGATGGACAGACGGCTATATGAACTCGGCTGTAGATTTTGAATAAGAATATATAAACAATAAAGGGTCGCAGGTGCCTTTTTCAAATTGATTTAAATCTTGTTAAGTCCCACTCGAATTCTGGAACTTGTCTTTAAGCTTAAGATCTTTTTATCAAAATATTTCGTAATTTTGTAAAATATATTTTATTTTTTAATACATTTAAATAGATTGCAACCTGCCTTAATATTATATGTAAATCATGGTAAAAATAATTTCTGATTTTAATGTTAATTAATTTTTAATGCAAATCTCTGCATAAGCCCACGTTACAATTTAATAAAAAAAAAAATAATTTCTGCGAAATTAACAACCATATTTATTCATAATAAACGAAATGCCTTGATTTCCTGCAACTTTTAGGGCACATAAATGTGCCTTTAGCCTTGGTGCAAGGCAGCGTTTCGTTGTTATATGTATGTATATATATATATATATATATATGTATATATATATATATATATATGTGAAAACAAAGGGAATGTTGAAGGGGTGGTGGGGCTGGGGGAGTGTGGGTATTGAGCATGTATGGTCCACTGAGCAGAGCGCAGTAAAAAGAAGTGGAGTAAAAATATGCGTTTCATTTTTTGTAGCACCAATGTACATTTTACCACCCCCACCACAAGCTACCCACCCGCCCCCCTCACGACACCCCGTACCACGTTACTTGTCGCGCTTTGTCTTCTTGCAGCCACACAATCCAAGTGCCAGCTGTTGACTTTGGCCTGGACAAAATATTACGAGTCGCAACTGAAGCTGAGGCTGGAGCTGTGTTGCCTGTGTTGGCGCACGTGACCGTTGCTAGCTGGCAGCGGGGCGTGGCGTAGGAGGCGACTGTCGCCCACTGATTAAAACGATGCGTCCAGCGTTCGCATGACAGCGATTTTTTCTCGTTAAATCCTTAAACGTAGCTTCGTTTTTTAACACTTGCCAGCTTGTAACCTACCACCCTCTCCCACCCTCTCTCACTCTCTCACTCTCTGGCTTTCTCGCTTTCTTCGCCTGCCCACTTTGATTTCTTGCTAGCAGCTAGCAGCTCCAGCGCCAGCTCAAGCTTCATGCTATAATTTATGCATATATCCATTGTGATTTATGTCTTGATGCGCGCTTTTCTTCTTCTACTGTAGCAGCATTGTGTGCTCAATGGCTTAGCCATTTCTTGCCGCATCCTTCCACTTGGCCAGGACACACAATTAGCCGGGAAACTGAGCAGCGGGACAATAGATATGCCTAAGCCACAATCAAACAATGCAGCGTCAAGTCACAAGTGTCATGTGCTGACCCACCAGCCCGCACTTTCGCCCCACATTCTAGGGTTACACACACACACACACACACATAATCACACACACATGCACACAGCTTTGCAGTGGGCAACTGCAAAAGTTTCTTGTGGCAAACAAATTTAAATAAAACTTTATTTGAACCAAGTGGCTGAAAACTTTTCAGATTTGTCATATGCACATCTTCAAGCTAATATTCCTTCACACTTAGATGACATCCAACAAGTCGCTCGGAGTTATGTGGAACAAAGACAAAGATTCTTCATGCCATACTTTAGCAAATGCTTGGCAGCATTTTCTGACAACTTCTGCTAGAGGGCTTGCATAAAGCATCAAATTTTATACATTTTTCTTATGTATGTATATCAAAATGTCTGTTGGCCAATTCAACCACCAAGTAGGGGAAAATTGTAGTTAAAGTTTGTCTCAAAAATATAAAAATCAACGAAATCATATAATTGCACTTCGTAAACATAACGTAGTGTGCCTGTGTGACCGAGTTAGGTGGTTTAAACTCAAAAACGAGAAGTCGTCGGTTCAATTTCAGCAACTATTTAAGATTTTGACCTTATATTTATTTAGTTTGTTCTTATGCACAAAGTAAAAACAAATAAAATGTAGTTCTTTATATATAGGTTTTCCTTTTCAAAAGACTTTAAAATACATTAAAAACAGACAAGACATTGTTTACAATTTTTAAGTCATTCAAGGCATTCACAAGGCATTTTTTAAATGCTTCAACAATTACTTAAAATTTACGCATGATAAGAGTTCCTAGAATGCAATTACTTAGGCAGGCCTGTGCCCAAGGCAAATTTCTGCCACTAAGTGGACCCCTAATACGATTAAGTTCAATGGCAGACAAAAATGCAAAAGACAAGCAGGAAAAATAAAACAGGCCAAAGGCGAGGCAAAATCATGGGTCGCTGGCAAATTACCAGGGGACCTTTGACCTGAGCCCCGCTCAAAAAAATGCACAAGAGCAAAGGCAAAATCAAAGTGTATGATAAAACGTGGAACTAAACAGTTAAAGCGAACAGAGTTGAGATGCAAGACCAACACAGACAGCAAATAGTTGCATTGAGGTTTGGCTCATTTAGATTACTCCTACGCACTGGCGACCTCAGCAGCGGCAACGACTTTGACTTTGACGGTGACAGTTTTCAAATACTGCTTGTAACTTTGCTGCAACGAAAACAGCTAAACATAAACACAACAACAATTGGCAGTAAGTGTGTGTGTGTGCTTGCTTTTGTATGGAACGGCATAAGTTTTCTTTTTACTTTGTGTGCAGCGCTCTTGGCCCGGCGCAGACACCCACTTAGCCCCCTGGCAAAGCCGTCTATTCCCCACAGATGTCGCCTGCCATTAACCCAATGCAGGCAGTGCGTCGCTTATAGAGTCGTTCGGTATTCAGTCAAGTTCGCAACAGATCCTGGCCGGCATCGTAAAGACCTCAGACGCGTTTTGTCCTTGGCTTCCGTTGCTGTTGCCTGTCTGAAGTGCTGATTGTCTGAGACATTGCTGGAGGCTAACATTGAATCAGCACTTCCATTCCGGCTTTAGCTGCTTTAGCTGTGATTGTGTGTGTTTGTAGGTTATTTAAAATGATCGAATATATCCGACATAATGGCAAATCATGTTTCCATTGTTTTTTCATTGCTGGTAATTTGTTAGTCACTCGACACTGATGACACCAAGGATTCGAAACATGTATGTGAGCATCCATGACATTAAAAAGGATCTGCCACAAAGGATCTGCCGCTGACAGACGCTATAAGATTATATTAATTTAATTCGATTGCCAAATGTGATACGTGTATCAAGTACTTGAACTTCATTGCTTCAGTTATAGCATTGTTAAATTGGTTTCATTTATAACAATGGATATCCTCAAAAATGTTGTGTGCCAGTGATAATTCACCTAATTGATGTGCGAGTGGGGCGTGTGCTAAATATTTGATATTAACTTTGAATAAACTTCAGTAACTAACTGGCAGCGCTCTATTAAAGTAGTCCAGATTATATTTCTTAAGATATAAGAAATGAGATTCCGTTTAAATCGTTTAAGCTAATCTAGTTATTCTATTAGGGAAATTAAGAAACTTATATATAATCAAATATATTTAATAAAAAATATATAATATATGCTACAGATTTTTGTTGAATTTTGGCAAAACCGAATACGCACAAAATATTTTATAGATTTTTTTCGAAGGATCAAATCGATAAGCAGTTAATATACACACCCAAAAAAGTAAATATACAATTTGCATTTATGTAAATGCATGTTACATAAGAGAAAACAACTATAAAATACCAAATCTGTTAAAGCTTAACTTTAATTGTTCTCCGTGAATTTTCGTACAGCTCTTCTTGTCTTTAACTATAAATTATTTATTTACTTATGGGCGACACAAAGAGAGTTTCGTCACAACAAAAGAAAAACTTTTCCATAAGCAATCTAGTGCGATAATTTGCAGCAATAATATGTTTTATGGATATTTTTGTGCCAGTTCTTCTTCATGTCTGCGCCAATAAAAAGCAAACGAAACTGACAGCAATAAAAAAGAAAGAAAATAAACAAATGTAAAGAAAATATTACGCTACTGGAAGAGCGGTTGCGGGTTGGGTTTTATTTTCGAAAACTTTGTGCAACTCCATTTTGTTTATATTTTGATTGTCAGACAAGAATAAAAATTCGATGTCAGACGATAGACACAAAGCACCAAATACAAAATAAAATCCGTTTGCTTCACTGACTACAATAAGTAAGGCAAATGAAAATGGGAATAAAAATGTCAACGATATCAAAATTTGTAGCGATTGTAAATAAGATAAACATAATAAATATATCTATACACATATAATATGTAGCTAAAGAGACATTTTGAGCTGCAGCTGCAGCGATAAGCATGACTCGAATGCTACGGATTGCAAATTGCGCATACGCCATTCAAGTGTTGCTCCATTTGGTGCTTTACCGCTGCTGTTGCTGCTTTTGTTGAGCCACTTGACGCTAATGGACTTTAAAGTGTGTTCTCAAGCGTTCAATACCAGATTTTCAACAGACAGTTGCTAAATTTAAAGTGCTCCGCACATTGTTGTCACACATTGCGCATACGCCCCATTGCCTCGGCAGCTGCCAAAACTCCCCTGATAGTCATATTAAGAAAGGCAAAATCGCTTGCAAATGTATATACCAACACATAATTTGCTGTGCAAATAATAAAATGTCCTAATTCGGTATACGCCAAATCAGGCATACACACACACTGTGGCTGTGGCACAACAAAATTACACACAGTTCTGCTCAGCTGGTACTTTGTTAGTTTTTTCCA